ATTAAATAAATAATATACCATTCCGGCGTTATTGAACTTGTCCAACTATCATTGTAATGTAATTAATGTTAAATAATAATAATAATAATAATAATAATAATAATAATAATAATAATAATAATAATAATTTCAGCATTAATTATCTTTGGCCTAAGCCTTGTAATGAAGAACCTACAGGTGACAGTACTATTTACTAGGCCTATAAATAATAATCGCCCAAGGGGAATGTCTTTTGTGTTATTTCCCCTTAACGTCGTTTTTTTAATTGTCCTCTAATTCCTCCATTGTCTAAGTTCCCCTTAAGGTACAGGTAATAATAATAATTAATTAATAATAATAATAATAATCATTTCAGCATTAATTACTTTGGCCTACTTGTAATGAAGAACCTATTAGTATTTCAAGGCCTATATAATAATCTAGCGCAAGGGGAATATATTTTGTGTTATTTCCCCTTTATCTATATTCCCCTTAACGTACAGGTAATAATAATAATAATTATTATTCCTCTTAATGTCGTTTTTTTAATTGTCCTCTAATTCCTCCATTGTCTAAGTTCCCCTTAAGGTACAGGTAATAATAATAATTAATTAATAATAATAATAATCATTTCAGTATTAATTACCTTGGCCTACTTGTAATGAAGAACCTATTAGTATTTCAAGGCCTATATAATAAGCTAGCCCAAGGGGAATATCTTTTGTGTTATTTCCCCTTTGTCTAAGTTTGCCTTAACGTAATAATAATAATCATTTCAGTATTAATTACCTTGGCCTACTTGTAATGAAGAACCTATTAGTATTTCAAGGCCTATATAATAAGCTAGCCCAAGGGGAATATCTTTTGTGTTATTTCCCCTTTGTCTAAGTTTGCCTTAACGTACAGGTAATAATAATAATTGTTATTATTATCATTTCGGCATTACATGTAATTAACTTGGTCTAGCCTTGTAATCAAGAACCTGCCGATTACTATGCCTAATAATAATAACTAGCTCATTTTTACATTCATTTGGTGATCTGCCATTTTGGCAGGTGTTTTATGGCATCCAGTATTTTAGAGCTGCCAATTCTCAGTTCTTCTCTTAATTTGAAATAACTGTCATTCTGTTTCATTTGTCAGTGATGAAGAAAAACGCGCTATTCCTTACACTTTGTGCTTTTCCCAGAAAGCGTTTTAGTAGGCCTAGGTAATTATGCAAAACCCAGGCCTAACTAAAAAATTAAAATTGTCATAATATGTAACTCAATTTAAAATAACACTTTTCATTACTCGTGCAGCTTAATCAAATATTATATGTCATTTTAAACGACCCATTGGTATTAACATGGTAACATCAATGTATTTTTGAAAATCAGACAGCGACGTTCTCTCAGAAGTTGGTTGTTCTGTAGACGTTTATCTGTTGATGACCTTTTGACCTCCTGAATTCTGCAATGAGATTTTCGGGTCGATTCAGCCGAGACGGCCCGAGTGGAGTTTCATGTAAATGTTTCGTACGGGGAAAAAAATCGCGGCCTGTGCAAACGATTCATGCGTGCAATTTCCCACATCAAATTTGATGTGGGATATCGTATGCATGACTGATTTTGTAAATCACGTAATTGGCTAACTTCATGCATATTAATCAATCTTCGTAAATTTTCAAAATTGAAGATGCGGATGTCTCGACTAAAACAAGATCCAGCTCCCTTTTGGCTACTTACTTGAATTAAAACAGTTAGTATAATTAATAGTTCTGGCCTGCTGAGAATGACATGGACTGATAACCGTAGGCTATACTAAGAACCTTACTCACCGCTAGCTGCTACAGATTTAGGCCTTTAGGGTAGAATATTGTTAAAAAGGTAGGCCTCTGTAAGTAAAAACTTAAAAATGCGCCAAGCCTCTACTTCTAGGCTAGGCCTACTACTCCTGACTCCATCCAGACGAGGCCTGAGCCATCTTCCTGGAAAGTTTTGTTGTATTTGTATGGTATGCCATCTAGTCTAAGCTTAATTGTTTTTGCCATTGCCAAAATTAGTCTTACTGCCAAAATTAGTCTTACTAGGGTCTATTCTAAATATTTTAGGCCCGTTTTATTAGGGAGGACTATTTAAATTTAGTCATGCCTAACTAGTCGACGCGAGTGACTCAGTTTCGTGGCTCAAAAAATATAAACATTTGATTGGTTGAAATTGTTTATTTCGGTCCTCCCATTTATCCAAATACGGAATATAAGATTACGTCATTCTTTTGGCATCCTGGTGCCTGATTTCAGTGTTTTACAAGTCGCTTATTCCGTCTATCTCTAAATTAACTTTCTCGTTGGTGGCGCTGTCCAGAATGAGAAAAATAATAACAAATAAGAGACTTGTGGCAAGTCTAACTTACAACATAAACTTGTTGAAAACACCCAAAACCTTTTTGTTTAGCTTGTTAAATTTGAAACCCTGAAAACGCCCATCTTCATCTGGCTGGGAATTTTGCGACCCCTTTTTCATACGATCCTCGATCCACCCCGGCTAAATACGATGAATGTTTGAAGTCCAAAGCAAAAAGTATTTACCATCATGTTTTGGTGCCTTTTTCTTGTCTTTTGTTACTACAGCTGGTGTTTGAGGATCATTCAATGGTGGTGTTGGAGGATCATTCAATGGAGGTGTTGGAGGATCAACTGATGAGGGTTCTATGTCACGATCTGAGTCTGAAAATTTAGAATATTTGAAAATGAGCAATTAAATTTAAACATGCTTGTAAATCTCCAATCAGTTAATGAAATAAGCAATTAGATGTTGCAATGAGGTTTTAAACAAACTAGGAAAACAATTGTAGTTCTTTAAAACCTTTTTTAGACTGCAGTTCAATAAGATGAAACTATTTCTGTGTCTTGTTTCACATATTGGGAAAATGTGCTAAAAGGAAGTCCGAATAAAAATTAAAAATGTTAGTTTTTCAATTAGCAAGTTGTGTCTACAAAGCAGAGAATAAAGTAAAAATAAAGATTTATTATTACTTGAAAGAGGTATTATACATGATGTTTATTAACACAATACAATATTTTTTCAAAAAATACTGTATTCATAAATCGGAGGTTGGAATAAAATAGTTTTTTAATTTTTATTCAAAATGTTGAATTTTGTCTGAAGGTTCACAAATAGCCTAAAAATGAATTTTATATTTATTTCAACTCTCAATTTTCAGCGTCAGCTGGTTCTCGAAAAAAGGTAGTATAAAAGAAAGTCTAGCCTAATGGATGAAGATGCTGCATAGCTTCAAGTAACAAATGAGAAGAGTAACATTCTTCAGTTAAGCGATATTGATGCTTTATTAGTAATTGATTACAGTATTATAATTACTACTGTAATAAAAAATCATACATTAATTGAAGGATGACAAAGGCTATTTTACAAGTACACAAGTAAAAATTGAATTGGATTAGCAATAGTTACCTTGGTTTAGTGGATCCTGTCCTGGTTCACCTGCTGGTGGTTCGGCAACCACACCAACATGTGTTATAACCTCATCATCTGAAGCACTCAGATCTGCATCCATATGGTGAAATTGTTGTACATTATTCATTGGCCTTCTACCTGTAAATTGGGAAATGACAGAACTAAAAATAGGGATCATGATAGAAATAAAAATATTGACTAAATACTAGGCCTTACTTAGCCTAGGCTTAGATAGTAGTAAATAAATTTAAATGTTTCTGGAACATAATTAACAGAATACTACTGTATCTAGACAAAAAATTATTTGTCTTTCCATTCCTTACTAGGCGAACCATCTACTACTAGGCTAGCCTAGGTTATGCAGTGAAAACTAGGAATGGCTAGGTAAGCTGGACGGGGGGCTTTGGGAGAGGGGTTGAGGCGAATTCACCGCAATTAGCGGATGGGCCAAATAGGCCAGCAGTAGAGGTGGGTGACGGAAGGGTACAGACAATCAGGCCCACAGACGATCGGGCCCAAAACTAGATCATCGCATTCCAAACATTTTTTATATTACTAAAAAAAATCAAAGCTTTGAATATATAATTATTTATTTGTTCATTTAATTACAAAAATGCTATATTATTCCATAAACTAGCAAATTTTACTTTATCAGTTGTCCACACATCTTTCAAATAAACGTTCGGGCCCAGCGACGATCGACGTCAAGACGGTCAGACCCTTTTTTGTAATAATGGACGATCGGGTCAACTGGGCCCGATCGTCTATATAAATTATAACCCGTATAGGCCGGGGTAACTTTAGTACTCAACTTACCAAGAATTTCGTCCATTTCTTCGTAAAATGGTGAGGTCGCTCGGCCCCGTCCGCTGGAATTATTTATTTTTTTCGCAGTCCTATATTTTTTCTTGAGATAGTCAATGCGCTCCTTCATGGCTTCCCATGTATTAAGCGCCTTTCACATCTGTTCAGGTTTCAGTTCACGTTCCAGTTCCGGTACCAGTTAAGAAATCGGACTTCTATTCTTACAACGCTTAAGGCGTATTCTATTCACATATAATCCGATCCGGTAGCCGGTGACCGGTTCTGGCATCCGGCAACCGGATCGAATCGGTCCTGAAGCGATTTTTTCGGACCGGATTCAAAACCTGAAGACTTCTGTCCAATCAGAACTCTCCACATAAATCGGCTTCTCTTTTTTCCCGACTAGAGCTATTCTCACCATCTTGTATATCGGACATGGCGACAACACTTCCTCCGAAGTTGAATGATGATGATTTAGAAGCTATTTTACTCGAAATACAACTGAATTCAATTTTGTATGACAAAGGCTCGAATGAATACAAAAACGATGTAAAGAAGGCCGAAGTGTTTTCAGCAATTGGTGCCAAGTTTGGCATTACAGGTAGGCTTACGTTTCTCATACGAAAGTTACTATTCTATTAGTATAGAATAGGCCTCTCTATGCCTACCTAACCTAGCCTAGATAAGGGCAATCCGAGTTTTCGTCAGGACTAGCCTATGTTTTTAGGCCTAATGCTATCGTCCCATGGCATATGTTTTAGGTGGGTCTGGGGTAGGCCTAGGCTATTGTTATGCCCTAACTCCTAAGTAAGGGGATAAGCTGACAGTGATACTGGGCTAGCCTACTAGCCTAGGCCTAGTAGTAGTAGGCCTGGACCTAGGCCACACAAAACGGCAATAATTAGGCCTATGGCCTCTACTACTAGCCTAGACCTAGGGGCCTAGGCCTATAACGATTATAGTTATTTACAAGTACCAATTCTTCTCCATAAAATTAGCAGAAAGGTGTTGCTGTTGGTTCATTGATTTTTGAAAACTCATTCCTTTTTAATAACCAGTTCTGGTATAGCCTAGGCCCTAGGCCTATACTGGCATGGTTATTTAAAAAAGGCTAGTGTTTTAGAAAATCATGATTCACATTTGTATTATTAGGTATAATTTATTATTTTTTAAAAATTAATAATGAAATTATATTTTTATAGGCTCCATTATACAGTAAGCTCGAGGTCTATTATTAAATGATCAAAGAATTTGATCTGGTCTTGTCTGGTTAACATACTCTACGCATGGTTGGCTATTATTTCGGCTTAATTTAAAGAAATACATTGCATAATTAATATTATTAAACATAAATTTAAATTACCTCTACCTAAACCTCAATGTAATAAAACAGTTTATTTCATAAAGGAGCATTTGATAGTTGAAAATGCTTCAACACTGCTTTTATTTTAACAAAATACCATACAGAATTTGCAGCCTATTTTTTGCAATATAAAATTTTGTTTATTTTCTATTGTTTTTTTTCTCTTTGCAAATTTATTTGTCTAATTAGCAAATCAAATTTAATTGTTTCATGATTTTTTTTTGTATATTGTTATGAAATTGAATTGTGGAAATAAACATTGAACATTTATAACAATATTTTGTAGGGTAGGTATAGCAATATTTAAAAATGTTTTCTCATTTGTTTGTAATCAAATTTTAACTTGTATATTTATCTTTAGGTGATCAAGTAAAAGCAAAGTTCAACCACATGAGAGACAGCTACCAAAAAAATTTAGAAAAAATTCGAAAATCAACACGTAGTGGAGCAGCAGCAGTTTTTGTGAAGCCCTATAAATGGTCGAAACAACTCCAGTTTTTAATACCTCATTTACAACTCAGAAAGTAAGTATGATTGATTTTTTTTTTACTTATCATCAATTGTTAACAGTGATAATATTTTTACTTATCATCAATTGTTAATAGTGATAATATCTTAATAAGAAAAGATTAAAAATTAAAGTATAATCCTTGTGTGTTTGATGCAGGAGCTATAGCAACATCCAAAAGTGTTCCCCTGCAACAGAGATATTGTCCAAAATGTGCAATCCAGATGAGGCCAATGCTCAAATTGAACTATATCCAGAATCAAATGATGATGACCTATATGATACCACAAAGGAAGTGATAGAAAACACAGGTAAAATTGAACAATGTAATTAAACTGTTCCCTTGTAACATTGATATAATAATAATAATAATTGTACAGTATGGTAATAGTACAGCAATGCACTAATGTATAGTTTAGTAATAAAAACATTAGGTGTATTGATTAGGCCTACACACACACACCAAAAAAAAAAACAATGATTATGAAGAGATGTACTCAGGGCCGCTGTGAAATTTTCGCTGCCCGGGCTTATTGGTTGGGGTAAGGGACCGGCTAGGCCCCCAGCAGAATCAAGTGGCACATCCCTGGTGCGCCCCCCCCCCCCACCGGAAGCTAGAGCCTTTTATTAGATTAGAGGACTAATTTCATTGATTAAAGAGTGAATTTCACCAGTTCATGAAAAATAAAGTAGAGAAACAAGAAAAGTAAAAGTTAACCTTCATTTTATTGAAATGTGCTGGAAGGATTCATAACATAGGTATCAAAGTTTACAGCTGAAATTTAGGGGTGGGGCCGAGCTTGCCCTTAAATCCACTGGTTTAATATATTAATTTAGTATTTACTCCGGACTCTTGGTGCCACTGAATGTACAGTGTAATAAAAGTAATTGTAGCTATTAAAAATGTATAAGAAATCTTCATATTTAAGGATAATACTGTAATTTATCTTCGTTTTTATTTTTTCAGAGCATTTGCCAACAAAGAAGTTAAAAATCAGCACTCCTTCATCATCAACAAGAAAAAGAAAATCAGATGCCGATAATATAAACCAACAACTTTTAGACTACCTTGAACGCAAAGAAAAAAGAAAATCAATGGATTCTGGTAGTGACAAACTAAAATCATTCTTCCTTATGACGTATGCAACCGTGAAGGAGTTTCCAGCTCCTAACAATTGGAGATTAAAAATAAAATTTGGTCATTAGTGTCATCAGTTGAACTCTCTCTATTACAAGAGGAATGAGCACTAGAGAAATATCATTAGATACCGTTTTTGCTTAAATAAATGTTGCCACCCAACCCCCTGAACTTTTTCAGATTTTCAATTCAACCTAGGGGTATTTTTATCAGTTTAATATCACATAATAAATAATTTACATGAAAGAAATTGTTGCAAAATACATGTAAACCTTTTTAGCAAACACTTAGCAACTTGCCAGTTTAATTTACAACAGAAGCCTCTTTTGACTCTAGAGGGTGCAATATGGTCCATAAATATTGATGCTTTTGCATGAATTGGCACAATATTTTAAAAGTGATAAATTTGACTTTTGTCAGTTTTTGGCCTTTCTTATATTTCACACACATGACTGTAATGATTTGAAAAATATAACAATACACTGTAGAAATAATATAAATCAAAATGTTTCTAAAGTCAAATAGAGTATATTAAAAATAAGTATGTACCGGCAGTCATTTCAAAATGTGTCTAGAAGTGTCATTTTTAGCAGTTTTAAGTACTGATGGACTTATTCTTCCCAGAACAATGCTTTCTTTGCCATGCCACCTTGCCTGCATCTGAAATAAAGTACTTGGCAAACCTGTTGCGAATTTCAATTGCATCCCGTGATCCATGGAAACCTTTTTTCTCCAATTTGGATAACCCTTCGCAGTGATTTAATATAGCCTTTGGGTTTTCAATATGTATTGTGTTGGTAGCTCTCTCAACCGGGCTTGTCTTCTTTAGGAAGCGCGCACAGAGTTGCCCGAAGGCATTTTCTGATATTCTCCTTCTTCTAGAGTGCCTATAATTGTAGATCCTTTTTTGATCTGTCAATTCCTTGCCAGGAAAAAGTCTCATCATTGTCAAGTTTAAGGCGAAAGCCTCATCCCATAAAATGACATGGGGCATTTCACCCAACTCCGGAGCATTCGGTAAACATTTCGGGCCAGGAAATTTAATTTTACCATTATCTATTGCCTCAGCTAATGCGCTTCTTGCAAAATTACCTCCGTCACTTGCTGACCCATAATTGCCAACATCAATATAGGTAAAACAATAGTTGGCATCTACTAAGGCCAAAAGCACAATTGAAAAATGACCTTTGTAGCTAACATACTGGGAACCACTATTGTTAGGCGCTTTGATATGAACATGCTTCCCATCTACTGCTCCTAGAGCATTAGGGTAGTTCCAATGCATATGAAATTCTCTTGACAACTGCATCCATTCTTCAGCAGAAGATGGCATTGCCATGTAAATACCACTTAGTCTCTTCCATATAGCTACACAAACTTCCACCACAATCATTGAGACAGTTGATATGCCAATCCTGTAGTTATAATGGAATGACCCATATGAGTCACCTGTAGCTAGGTACCTAAAACAGAAAGAAAATACAATTTATGATTTTAGTAATACAATCAGTCAAACAGAATCTAGTCCTTTGCTAAATAGTGTGTGGTACTATTTTCACAAAAAAAAAAAACAAAAAAAAACCAAACATGTATTAGAAAAAATGAGTAACAATAAAAAAGAAATGACAGCAGAACTTTTGAGACTAACAATATATAATTTATTCTCTAGCTTTTGTCACACATGGACACTTCATTAGGAGACTCTCTTAAAAGTCTGCTGTCATTTCGTTTAAATGAAATCATGTTAGATTAAAATTGTGTGCATTCTATTATTGTTGGTTTTATATGTTACCTTAAACAGACAGATAAACGTTCTCTTGGAGTTATGGCTCTCCTGAATCCTGTATCTTGTCTGAATATATCAGCTTTGATCAAATCTAAAATAGTTTCAAATTGTTCCTCCGTCATTCTGAAGTAAGAAAAGTATTGGTCTTCTAAGGATTGTAAGTCATTTGTAATCAGAGAAACAAAATGGCCAATATTAGATATTTTCTGATTTATGGGGTTAACCCAGAACGACCTCTTCTTTCGTTTTTTCCTTTGAAGTATCAGATTTACAATAACTTCATCTTCATCACTGCTACTTGAATCCATTGTTGTTGTTCTGTTGAGAATAATATAAGGTAAACAGAAAATATACATACCGTAACTATTCCTATGCATGTGCGCTGACAAGTAAAATTGGTCTATAAAACTACCATGCCACGTAAATAAAATAATACTAATTTAATTAAAAGGACTATAAATCTATATCTAGTGTCCTTTACTATACCGCACCATAGTCAATTATTATGTATTGCATCAGGTATACATATTACTTTTCTGAAGGAACCAAGAACTATAGACTATAAAATGTAGGTTACTAAGGCAGAGGTCAACGATCTCGCCATTGGTAGGCCTAGCCTAGGGCCTACTTACCGTGCACCTAAATCATAGGCCTAATATAAGATGTTTTGTATTTTTAACTCTAATACATTTTACTTATATAGAATATGTGTAAATAATACTAAACACTAAAGGAACTTACGAATGGTAGTATTTTCAAAACATAAACAATACATACAACTCGCGACGCAAGTTCATATACTGCGTAACGTCAGCGTGATCCGCGTCAACCGCCGGAACGGAAAACGCAGTAGATTTGAACAGAATCCTCAGAAACCGGACAAGAAACCGGAACTGAAAACGGAACCTGAACTGGAACCTGAATAGATGTGAAAGGCGCTTTATACGGTGATTCTGGAAACCTGTCTAGAAACTTGGCGACGATGCTAGCCCATACACGAGAGTTGTACTTCATCCCCTCGAACCCTTGCTGGTGTTCTTTTTCTCCCCAAATCGCGATCAAACCGTGCGTTTCAGCATGCGTCCAATTTCGCTTCCTTTTTGCTGCATTGTTTTCTGCTGTAGATTTTCTTTTTGTTCCTTTTGCTACCGCATCCATTGTTGATACCAAAAGCGAGCCTAGCCTGTCGAAATGCCGCGCGCGCGCGCTTTCGTTAATTGTTTTGCCACACATACCGGAGGTGAACGTCACGATTTAGCACCCCCAATTGTTCAATCTGTACGAATGGTTAGTTTCACCATGGCCTGTGGTAAAACTAACCACGTCGATAAATCCCAGTACGAACGACAGGAAGTTTACCCATTGGAATGTTACCCACAGTCTAGGTAAAAATTTCCCTAGTTTAAATCCAATGCGATTGCGGCTTTAGGATGCCAGGGGTAGGCACTCAGTTCAACTTATTATTTTTGTTTGTTATGCATCGTAATTTTCCCGATTTTTAGGTGTGAACACAAGTTGTATTTTCTTTTTAATTACACTGTGGTATAGACAAGAAGAACAATTCCCAGTAAAAAATATTTGCGGGAAATTCAGTAGCTTCTGTTCGTTACGGACTGCCAATGCACTTTTTGACATCACACCAAACCTAAACATGCACTCCCGATTATAACTTCTTTTTATTGAAAATGTAGGAAAATGTTAAGACAGTATAAATTGTTGTAGCCTAGATTGTAGGCTTATTCATTACGTTCGCCGTGCCTGACCATAAAATATCTCTTGCTCACCCTAGATCACTAACCTTCCTAGGCCAACTACAATACAATAGTACGCGACCTTCGCAGGCCGCGATTTTTTTTTTCCGTACGAAACATTTACATGAAACTCCACTCGGGCCGTTTCGACTGAATCAACTCGGGCCGAAAATCTCATATTGCAGAATTCAGGAGGTCAAAAGGTCATCAACAGATAAACGACTACAAAATGCAAAACAACTTCTGAGAGAACGCGCTGTCTGATTTTTTAAAAAATACATTGATGTTACCATGCTAATACTAATGGATCGTTTAAAATGACATAATATTTGATTGAGCTGCACGAGTAATGGAAAGTGTTATTAAAACTTGAGTTACATACTGTGACAATTTTTTTTTTAGTTAGATCTGGGTTTTGCATTACCTAGGCCTACTAACTACTAAAAAATATACGCTTTCAGGGGCAAAGAGGAAGGAATAGCGCGTTTCTTTATCAAACGAAACAGGGTGACAGTTATTTTCGAATAGAGAGAAGAGCTGAGAATAGGCAGCTCTAACATACTGGATGCCAAAGACATGGCAGAGCACTAATGAATGTATAAATGAGGCCTAAGCCTAGTTATGGTAAATAGTATCTGCAGGTTCTTGACTAAAGTTAGACCAAGTTAATTAATGCCGAATTGATTATTATTTATTATTATTATTATTATTATTATTATTATTATTATTCATTATTATTGTTCATTATTATGTTACTAAAACCTACCTTAGGAACTTAGACAATGGAGAAGTTAGAGAACATTAATTACATTACAAGGATAGTTTGGCCAAGTTCATTAACGCCGGAATGGTATATTTTATTTATTATTATCTAATAATATTTCTCTTTGCACTCTATTTTTTATTTCATGCTTCAATTTTTCCCCCTTTTTTCAAAATTTCAATCAACGTCATGTGAAGCGTGACTGTTGGTGTCAGCCTAGGACCCTAGCCTAGGGACCTAGGCCTAGTTTAGGGAGGACCTATGGTGGGTAGGACTTAACTCAGCCTGCTTTAGGCCTGTAGTTTATCTGAATTCGTTCTGTCAGCCTTTGGTGTACCTATCTACACTTTATAAAGGGGGATACTAGCTGTTGTTGTTGTAGATATTATACTAACATTTAATAACATACAAGAAGGTCACAGTTAGTTACACACGTACATCCCATAAATCCGTAACATAGAAAGAGCAATAAAAGTAAAACTCGAGCGTCACGACTATGCGAAATGTCTGCTCTTGTTCCTCGTATCAAACTCGAGTCGAGTCAGTCAATCCGAGATGGCCCAAGTTAAGTTTCATGCAAATGTTTCGTACGGGAAAAAAATCGCTAGCAGGCCGCCGGCAGCGGGTAATAAATTTTAGGTAAGTAGCGAACCTGTCACCCGACCTGTCACTTGTGACAGGGGGTTGGATGATCGATTACCCGAGTAGGTCGGGTAGCAGGACTGAATTCGCTAAGGGCTGATTTTCGGCATGGGAATCAACATACTATTCACTACTCAAACCTCAAAACCAGCATAAAGTCGTTAATGTGGAGAATAATTATGAATAAGCTGGAAGTAAATGTAAAAAAAAAATATATATAAAAAATAAATGTTCGTCCGTTGGTCACTTATGTTATGCAAACATTGCATGTTATATGCAAACCCTGCATAGTCTTTTTTAGACCCTGCTCTCATTACGTCAATATATAAACCTCTTCTTTAAAGATTCTGATATTCCTGCCTCATTTACAAATAAACAGATATAACCTACCTGTACAGAACTCAATATTGTGCTTAGTGCAAACACTGCAGCATTATGCTTTTGTGGGGTTTTTGGGTCCTGTGTCCCTTGAGTGTCCAATAATATGATCCCGACCTAAAAATTAACACCAAAATATTTAGAACTGTAATTAAATTTATTTAGTTGAGATTATTATCTGAAATATAAAGCAAACGTATACATCTTTTGACTGTAAAAAATAACACCATATCAGTGTATATATGTCAGTCACATTTAGATGCCAACTTTTGACTATTTAATATGCTGTACATATTGCAGTCATTGGCATTTGTTTTAATATTTTGAAGATCAATTTTGGTATGTTTTGCAAATTAAAGGGTCGAATATTGTAAATTGAGTTTACACTAGACATGTATTTTTCATGTACAGTGCTTTTAATTAGTACCAGTATCTTCTAAGTTTAATAATAATAATAGTAATAGTCATAATAATAATAATAATAATAATAATAATAATAATAATAATAATAATATTAATAATAATAACACCGTAATAATAATAATTCTGGATGTATATAGCGCCTCACGTTGACACAACCTCGAGGCGCTTAACAACAACAGAGAAGAAAAACCAAAACAAATGCAAATGATTGGTTTGATGATTATCAATAAATGTTATTATTATAATGCTTTGGTAATTGGAATCATTTAAGGCCTGTTACTTTCCTATTCATCCCAAAGCCTTTCATTTTTCTTTCCCTCTTGCTTCTTGTCTTTCTTCCTTTCCCCTTCAAATGTTCCTGATCTTTACTTTTCTTGTCCTTTCTTATGTTTCTTTATCTCATCTTTCACATTTCTTTCTTAGATTCCTTATTTTATCTTTCCTTTCATTTTAGTCTTATAATTCGTATCTGTCTATTATATTTCAGGAGGAGCTTTTGATACGGACGTCAAAATGCTTTAGAAGAGTTCATAACTATTATGTAGGTCTGTTGACGTTTGTCTAAATTTTTATTGATTGGGTGTTCAACGAGAGTACCATAATTCTGTGTTGTAAAGGAATGATATCCAACAGGAAGCAACTCCTGATCTTATACCCCACAACTGATACTACTATATGCACTTAGTCTGGTCGTTTTACTGATGTACCGGGAAAAAATTGTTAACAAAGCTTTTTTGGTATCAATCGATGTGTATGGGTGTCGTCTTTCATATACGAAAACTCCGCTTCAATCCTCATTGGGGGAAAAGGGTTATTTCATTTATGTGATGCCCCCATTTTCAGTTAAACTTCAATGATTTCTTATAGATTTGGTAATAATCTAAGCATAATAACATAATTTGTAGGCTGTCGTAACCAGGTATCTATAGGAGACCCAGGAGGATCTTACATGCCTATGGTGGGATTCCGGGAAGGGGAAGGTGTGAGAGGGGAGGGAGAAAGCCCTCAGTAGTTAAATAACTCTAGCATGAAAATGTAAGTTTATCATCTTAATAGTATTTAATGCAAACTAGTTTGGTTAATCACAGACTTTGCTTAGAAAGAAAAGGGGGTTTGCATCAATGGTGGGGTATCAAGGGTTCTCCCTCTCATGTCTGGGAGCACAATTTGTCTGGGGGGAAAACCTCTATAACTGATTAATAAACCTTTCAAATTCCTAATTGTGGGAGTTTCCATCACCCCTTTACCTGTCAGGGATTTCAACACTTGTCGGGGAAATCGGCCATATGTTGGTAACATCGCAGTCACCCCCTTCTTTCTCTAGTTTGGAACATCAAACCCCGTCGAGCAATACCAGCACCACGACTGTGGATTCGGCCAAAACATAAATCCGCTTTATCCAAGGTAAAGCTTGGTTTCTATAGAATCGCTCACCCTATAGGCGGCAATCGCCGACAGTTGTCGGGAAGGTTGAGGCCGGTTCAACTTTGCCAATTGCATTTCAGACGAATCGTGGTACGGTGCCTTCCTAATTACCAGTGGCGTAATGATAGGGCCGGAGACCCTGTGTATTTCTGGAACTGGGGGCCTTTTTTTGGGTCCCTGTCACCATTTCCATCGTGGGATTTTAGATGTGCATTGTTATTCTAAATATTTTTAACGACGAATAAATGATATAATATGGAGGGACTTTCACAGTTGGTGGGACTATATCACATCAGACCCAACATGGGTGGCACTCACAGGCTTAGCGGGGGAGCCATGTAGGCAGGCCCCCCCCCCCATCGTCGGGGAAAAAAAGCACAATTCGTCGCCCCGGATCACTTTCGAAACCTTTTCAATCGAAGATCGACCGCGCCCACTTTGTTTTCTTTGGGGAATCAATTTGGCCAAGATTCTTTCGTACACACTAGAAGCATATT